GCAATATGGTTGGGTGTCGCAAACAGTGGCTCTCATGCATTTACTCATTATTCTTGTAACTTCAGTCTATATGAATTCGCTATCTTTCGCTTGAATTTTCTCTCAATAGTGCAATTTTCAGTCTGCTGCTTTATCCAAATGGGTGATCTCATGACGGGAGCCAAAACCGGCACACGAAAGTGCATTGTTTATGGTTGTAAGAATGGAACTGAACTGAACTCGTGCTGTTCACTGCCCTTTGCCACACACACACGCACGAATAAACCGGATCCTCAATCCCTGCGGTGCTCACCAACTTAATTCACAAAAACCTGCGTTTGTTTCTCTGTGCGCGGCGCGTATATCACAGTTTCTTTTTAGGACATTCGACTGATAGGCCATTGGGATAGGATACCGTTCCACTGATCGGATGCGATTTTCTATCACTTCCGTCAAGCTAATTGAATGTTTCCGCTCAGACGTTCCGTTCTGCACCGAAACGTGTTGCAACTGTACGCTGGGATTGTTTCCAGTCATTCTATCCATTGTTTCAATCGATAATTGCGAACAGATATATATATATATATATATATATATATATATATATATATTCTAAAAGCCAATTCAGACTGAAAGAAATATGCGATTATGAAGTGATTAAAGAGAATGTGTAAGACACGCGAACTCAACTTTGGTGTAACTATGCTCCCTAGTGTTTTCTCAAAACTGTCAATTGATCATCAAGTCTCTTGTATCTGTCCACTAAGAACTCTGTCATGCACGTCGCTATTTTCTCAGGTTACATGCTGATAACCTCCACTTGTCCGAGGATATGTGCTTGCTGCAGCCCACACTGCCTTTGGAGAAATTGATCCTAGGGAAATACACTTCACATGACCCAACAGGAAGTCATAAAATCCTCTTTACGCAGACCCGGAGAAATCATTGATTATCTATTTCAGTTTCGCTTTATAGAACCATTCACCGCTCGCCAGTTTTGGTCGTATCTTTAGGATGCCAATTCGGATAGTCGAGCAGAATGAACATTGGGATGTTGAGAGCAGAGTCTAAGAGAACATAGAAAATTCATTTAAACTAAGATTACAAGGATAAAGACTAGATTCAGGAGTGTCACTGTTTGCGACACTCATCCACGTCATCCAGTGTCTCTAACCACCGGTTACGATGATCGCGGGGTACCCATCCAGGAAGCCTAATGCGACCTATGTGATCCAGTCTCCTGGTTAGGGTTTTCATACCCTCGTGCCAGGTTTTAGTTTGACCGCCCTCGATCATTTTCCATCCACTGCCTGCGTCGGCAAATATCACATGCTGTGGCAACCTATTCGGTGAAATGCGCAGCACATGTCCCAACCGGCGGAATCTATGGAGGTCGATCACTTGATCCAGTGGGCAATCGCGGTTACTTAAAACTGTACATCTAACCTCAGCATAATTATGTATAACTATATAGGATCAAGTGAATGACTGGACGTCAAACAATAAACCGTCTGCGTTTGGGAATTCGTATCTTCCCCCGCTGGCGTCCGGTTGCATTCAACTTATCCTGTTTTTTTTGTGCTTGCAAACAATGTAGTTAGCGATTTTTCCCTCGGATTTCGCCGATCAACGATCTTCACAGCTTCCTCTGCATTTCCTCTGTTCCGAGGAAGTAAAAAGAACCGACCAAACCGTTTCAGTCTTGGTCTGGACAACTCGAGAGCGAGAGCGAAGTTTTGCTCTATCTCTGTAATCAATCGCTCAATACCGATTGATGATTAGCTCGTTTCACTACACTCTTGTTCATCCAATCTGCGCAGTGACAACGTGCCCAATCTTATTTAGTTCTCAGTCAATATTTGCGCTGACCTGTAGCCTTTGCCAACGTACACTGTCTGGATTGTTTCCAGTCCGCGGTTGTACGGTTCCTTTTGACTCATCCTGTACCCCCATGTTGTAAGAATCATTTGCAACAGCGTCAGGCATATTCACTGTCGAGATCGATCATTCGTAATACCTCAGCCACTTCATCTGACGTTCTAGAAGGTGGATGAACTTGGTATGCAGTATGTCTCGTCTAATTGTCACGCTTTCCATTGAGCCGATTATCCCAGTGGGATCAGAAGAATTGGTCAATGTTGTTTACAAATGCATTCGTTGTCATTTCCCATTCCTGACGGACATTTTCCGGTTTATTGGTGAACTGTGTATGTAAAACCACGTTTGACCCCTGATCAGGATCGAAAAAAGCATTCGCGGTTCTTTAGCTTCCTTCGTATCTGGGTCATCATTCACCGAGATGATGAATGCAGTGATCTCCGGCTGGAACGGTTGAAAGCAATCTGTATTGAGCATTGCAGTCGATCGCAGTAAAGTAGGACATGATAACTGTTGTGGCCTAAAAATGATTGATACGTTTGCCTGTGCCCAGATTCATAGATCGATTGATTGGCTGACTGCTTGAATACCGGTTTGATGGCATACGGATGTTGTGTGACGTTTGACCCTGTGTTCGCCTGCCCACCAGGGACACAACAATAACCAAGTCGCGAATCTCGTATCTGTTATCTTGGGGCTGTACGATATTTGACGGGCAAATTCTGTCAACCGTTTACTTCTGTCCTCATGCTCGGATTTGTAACAACCTCGCTCGGCACATCGGTACACACTGCAATTCAGTACACTGTTACTATCGTTGCATCCGCGTATTATGTACATTTACATCCCAGCTGGTTGCACATGCATCAATGACCATTCAGTAAGTCCCAAATGAAATTCTCTCCCTCACCGTCCCCGACGTACTTCCACTTGTCTCACAGTTCCGGCCAGTCCCGA